GCTGTACATACATGTTTTATACAGTCTTTGGAGCATTTTACTCTGTGTCTGTGTATATTGCTCTGTTAGTTGCCATCAAGTCAACTCTGACTCACAACAGCCTTTATACAGAATGACATGTTGCCCAGCCCTGTGTCATCCTCATGGTTGCCAGCATATTTGAGCCCATAATTGTGGCTGTTGCACCAGTTCATTTCACTGAGGGCCCCCCACACCCTTATTGGCCCTCTACTTCACCAAGTAAGATGTTCTTTTCTGGCAGTTGATCCCTCCTGATGTGTCTGCAGGAAGGAAGAGTCAGAGTGTTTTGTTATAATCCATAAGGTTTTCATTGGCTAATTTTTAGAAGTGAACTGCCAGGCCTTTCCTCCTAGTCTAAGTGTGAAAGCACAACTGAAAGTTGTCCACCATGAGTAATCCTGCTGGTATTTGATATACTGGTGCCATAGCTTCTAGCTTCATAATACTACAACAAACTCACAGATTGCATATATATGCATATACAAAAAACCAAACTCACTGCCATTGAGTTGATTCTGACTCATAGTGACCCTATTGGTTTTCTGAGGCTATAAATTTTTACAGAAGTAGATTGCCCCATCATCATTCCACGGAGTAGCTGGTGGTTTGAACCACTGACCTTCTGGTTAACAGCCAAATGTCTTATTCATGCCACCAGAGCTCCTATATATGTATGTGTGTGTGTGTGTAAATACATATATATACACACACACGTGTATATGTGTGTGTAATATACATGTATCTGTATATGTGTGTGTATATATATTTATACACACACACATACATATATATCCCAAAAGGAAGAAAATGTAACCTTAGAATGTGTAGCAGGTAATAGGAAATGTTTTGAAATTATGTTAAAAAAAACCTCACTGCTATCAAGTCGACTCTGACTCATGGTGACCTCATGTGTCAGAGTAGAACTGTGCTCTAGGGTTTCCAGTGTCTGGTTTTTCACATGTAGATTGTCAGGCCTTTCTTCGAAGGTACCTCTGGATGAACTCAAACCTCTCAGTATCCGACACAGTAATGGTTTGTCCACTCAGGGACTGTAACGTGGATTTGGGGCAAGGGTAAACAACCCTCTGCCGTCGTGTTGGGTCTAACTCATGGTGACCCCTCCTTGGGTTTCCAAGGTGGTATTTCTATGGAAGTAGATTGCCCAGTCTTCTTTCTGAGGAGTGGCTGGTGGGTTTGAACTGTCCGCCTTCTGGTTAGCAGTCAAATGCCTTAGGTACTATGCCACCAGAGCTCCCTTAAAGTGGATTAGGGTATTAAAAATGCAAAAAGATAGAAAATCATTGCCTGAGAGCATTTGGAGATTTAATTATCTAGGTTAAGACCTCTCCATTGTATTCATTTTGCAGTGCAAAGGCACAGAGTTCTAGGAGTACCTGGGTGGTTCAAATGGTTAATGCACTTGGCTGCTAACTAAAATGTTCGAGTTTCATGCCCGCCCAGAGGCACCTTAGAAGAAAGTCCTGGTGATCCACCTCCAAAAAGTTAGCCATTGAAAACCTAGTGGAGCACAGTGCTACTCTGAAACACATGAGGTCACCATGAGTCAGAACTGACAGCGAATGGTTTACAGAGACCTGAGAGCACATCTCTGGCTTAGTAGCTTAATTGAAGTATGGGACAAACCAGTTCCTAGACTTGGATTGCTTTCTTCCTGTCTTCTTCTTTGTGTCCTTAAATATTTAGTGAGTAGCTACCACATCCTGGTCATTGTCCTGTGTGCTGAGTACACAGTAGAAGTTCATATCCTTATTTTGGCCCTTATAGGATTTTTCAAAATCACTCTTAGAAGCTTTGTTAATCTTAACCTCCTAGGCTAACTCCATATAAGAATTCACTTTAGGTCCATATCATAATTCACTCTGAGATTTATTTTTGGGATCATTTAATTACATGTTCAGACAACCTAACTGAATGCATAACTTTAAAAATTTCAGGGTAATATCCTTTTGGGTTTGGTCCTATTTCCGTAGTGATACTGCCTCAGAAACCCAAGGAGGGGTCGCTATGAGTTGGGTCTGACTCGACGGCACATAACAACAACAACAACATATATATTCATTCCTAGCTTTTTTTCCCCCTCCACACACATATCAAGCCTATCTTGATATACTTTAGTTATTTGGATTTGACCTTGATGTATGGATTTTACTTCTCTATATTTTCAAGACTTGAAATTCAATATAATCTTACACCTTGACTTAAAGCAACCAGTACTTTCAAAAACTTAACGATTATACAGCTAGAGAATATTAGGTAGCACTAAAGCAAGCATTTGTTAATCTAATAGTTGTATGGTTGTTTCCATGTTTTTATAAAATGTGGTTGTGAAACTTGTAAGCATGGTTGTTGCTTAGGATGAAGCTAAAGTAGTTTCTGTGATGATCCATCGCACATAAACTGCAGGAATTGATGGACCAGGTAGCTCTCAGATATGGAAAAAAAAAAATCATGAAATTATTACATGTTGTGGTAGTTCAATTGTATGTCAACTTAGTTAGGCCAGCTGGGCAGCTGGTTGTAGTTATTCCCCATGATGAGACTGGTAATCAGCTCCATGTTGGAATCTACTGGAGCAGCTGAATAAGTGTCTTGGGGATGTGGTCTGCTTCCAGTATATAAGGAGAAGCTTTGGGAATGGTCTGCAGCTTTTTGGCATGGTGGAGCCTGTGTGTAGCCGAGTCTTCATTTAGCAGCCTGCCATGTTTCCTGCCGATCTTGGGACAGTCTCTGGACTTAACGAGTGGCCTCCTGTGTTGTTTGGTAATATTGGGACTGTGCCATTTTATTTGTTGACCTTGGGTCTCTCAGCCTCAGCAGCCAGCAGCTGCCTGAGTGAAAAGATGCCTCTAGCTCCTACGGGCCAGGAGCAAGAAGCAGAGCTGAAGTCCAAGGTCGAGGGGCTTTCACCCAGCCCTTAGAGCTGGCACTTTGAACTCGGACTTCTAACCTCTTAAACTAAGAGAATAAACTCCTGTTTGTTAAAGCCACCCGCCTGTGGTATTTCTGTTATGAATTAAGATGTTCTCTTTGATGTCCTCTGATTGTCTTCTATTTATATCATAATTCTTAAAAAAAAAAAAAAAAGCTTATGTGGTTTGGTCAGGAAAAAGCCATCTAGAATGTTTATTTAGACAAATTTGTTTAAATAAGATATACTGTTATATGATAAGTTCTAGAAATACAAAAATAAATAAGACAGGAGATTCAATTAGAGATAGATAAATAAACTAAAAATTACAATATATCATGTTAAGTGCAACAGTGAAAATATGTGCAAGGTAAATGGGTATCATGGAAGAGGCAGTATACAATGATAAGGAAAATCTTCACAGAGGAGGTGGTACTTGCAAGGTCTTGAGAGATGAGCAGAAACTTTACAGAAAAAAGATTAGAAAAGGCAGGCCTGGGGAAGGCAAATGCCAAACTACAGAGACCTACAAGAGCGTGGCATATTGGGCAACGGTGATGGCTCATCGTTTATGCTAGTGAGAGGGAAGAGCCAGATACGAAAGCTCTTATTTGGAATATGAAGGCATTTATTTAGATGTTATTCTTTATGTGATGATCAGCGTTTGAAAGATTTTTAAGCAGAAGAGTTACATAATCTCTGGGGGCAATTGGGAAGATGGATTAGAGGGGGAAAAGCATAGTCAGATTATAGCCAATATTCAGCAAAAGAAGACTGGATAGCAAGCAGGCAGGTAGTTCAGAAGTTCTTTATCTTTGTGTGATTTGCAGGAAATCGGGTTACAGCTAAACTTTTTCCAGAATGTAATATATTGAAGGGGATAATGCTAGGTAATTTGGAGCCAATATCTAAAGTTTCTCAAGAAATTTATATTATCCAGCCTTTATTATATATATATATAAAAAAAAATCTCACTGCCCTTGAGTCAAATCTGACTCATATTAATTTAGACAATCTAATCTTAAAGGTAAACAGAATTTTGTTTACTTTGGGTTTAAATCCTACATCAAGCAGCATGTGAAAATTAAGTGGAAATGTGTTGATGAGGCACGCAGTTGCAAGCAAATTCTGTTTTCCAGTTAAAGTGGTGCTTATGGTAATAAACTGCAGAGGCCATAGAATGAAATAGTTAAACTTTCTTTGCAGCTAATATCCTGCCAAGAAAGTATCAGACAACAGTGTTTTTGAAAGAAAATTGAGTAAATAATAAAATCTCTGTATAAAGAGCCGCCTTTAAATAGGGTTTTAGAAGTGAATGTTCTACATAAGTTAATTGTGGCATATTGATTACTTTTGTGCACATTGATGATTAAATTTTAGAGTTGATAGTCTTTGGATTTGGTGAGCATTAGTCTACCTTCTAGAGAAGTAATGGTATGAAAACTTATTTTCAGCATGTCATAATTTAGAGTCATAAGTCTGAACCTGCCTGTCTTTGGATGTGAGCGTATTTGTTTCAATCTTTATGCATATCCAGCCCTTAACACCAAATATTCTGCTTCATATTTAATTTGGGAATGTTCTTTTAATAGGCCCATTTTGGGATGTGCCTTCATCAGCTAATTTGGTAAAATCCAGAAGCTGTATATTGTCAGCATTATCTTAGCCTTTTCATATTATAACCCAACAAAAAGTTCTGACTCTGGGAAATTAACTTCAGTGTATTACGAAAAAGGATCCAGAATCATCAAAAGAGGGAGTTGATGCAAAGGGTGTGTAGAAATGTTCAGAAGGCAAGTTAACATTAACTTATTAATGTGATTTCATAGAGATAAGAGAGGAACCACAGAAATGACGGGACCACAAATGATCTTGGAACAACTGCAGGTTCCTTCCTGCAGTGCTTAATAATGTAGATGAATTATCATGAAACTTGATTTTATGTGAAACAGTGTTTTCTACAGCCCTTGACACTAAATTATTTTGAAGCTCTTTTTAGTTGTTTTTGAAGATTTAATTCTTTGTTTCCTTATTTTCTGCTCTGATACAGAAATCCCCTGCGAAGAAGCTGAGCCATGCAATTAGTAAATCTTTGGGGTGCGTACCCACCAGAGAACCCCCACATCCTGTTTTTCCTGAGCAACCAGAGAAACCACTTGACCTTGCACATATAGTGTAAGTACATACCTTGCTATGGATTACATTGAAATAATGATCTTACTAAATCTTTCAGATCAAAACCAAATACCACTAATATGAGCATTTAAGCTGCTGTTTTTTCCTTTACTTTTGGAGAACGTAAACCTCAAGCTTTTCTCTCTTTAAAAATAAATAAATAACAAACAAACAAAGCCATTCTGTTGAGTCAGTTCAGATTAATACAAATATGAATACAGAAACCTAGCTTCTGATCCTGAAGCCTAAGTAGTTTAGCAGTTGACAGTAGAAACATTAATGCATTGAAGAGTGATTATTTTGCTGGTTTTAATAGAGTTACCTTCTGTTTGTGTTATCTCCCTCAAATCAGTGGGAGAAGCAATTTATTTTCTATAGCAATAATGTCCATAGGGATTTATAAAATTAGTTTAGACAATGTAGAAAGGAAAATCAACTTAATTGGAACATCAAACTCACTTGGCATAACATACTACACAAAAACATTGTTCCACATCCTACTTTGGCAAGTAGTGACTGGGAACTTAAAACCTTATAAGATGCGACAATGGGGCTCTTCTTGTCCAGAGCAAAGAACAATGAAGAAAATCAAAGACGCATGGAAACAATTAGTCCAAGGGACTGGTACACCATGCAGTCCTCAGCCTATATGATTATGAGATCAGAAGAATTGGATGGTGCCCAGCTACCAGTGTCAACCACTCAGAGGGGGATCTGTATAAGAGATCCTGGATAGAGTGGGAGACCAATGTGGAACAAAACTCAAAATCATTAAAAAAAAAAAAAAAAAAGACCAGGTTTGCTGGTCTGATAGAGCCTGGTCGAACCCCTGAGACTATGGTCCCCAGATGCCCTTCATGTCTGGAACTGAACCCACTCCTGTGACTTCCAGCCAAACAAAAGACAGGCGTATGAGGTGAACATTTAGATTAGTAGATACGCTCCTTGGAGAGAACAATCATGGGAGAATAGAAGGGCTGCTTATGCACAGGGAGTCAGTTTGGGGGGCAGGAGTGTATGGGAGGGAAGGACACAGGGAAGAGGTAACTATGGGGAGGAAGTGGGATGGAAGCTGTTGCATTGTAGGAAATTACGGTCAATGTCATGAGACAAAGTGTATGTGAACTGCTGTATGGAAAATAAATTTGCTCTGTAAACTTTCACCCAAATCACAATAAAAATTTAAGAGAAAGAAAATCAACTTAATTTGCTCTGTTTGTGTTGAGAGAAAATTAAGAATAGAATGTAAGTTAAAATAATGCTTATATATTGTTAATTGAATAGTCATGCTAAATAAGGAAAGCTACAGGATAACAAAAAAGAGAAATAGAAGGACAAAAGGAAACTTAAGGAGGAAGAGATGAAAGGATGCTTCTAAGTGGTTCTGCCACCATGAATTGATTATATTATGTTTATCGTGCTGCATAAAATTGGTATTTTTTTTTTTTTAAGCATTATTCTTATATCAGGAGGATAGAAATTTTTCTGTTGGTGTAGACATCCATTTTCCTTTTACCTACCTCTAGTGGTAAGGTGGTTTGACTACATGAGCACTTGATCTTTTTACTTTTTTTTTCTTGAATTTTTAAAATTTTAGTATTTGTTAAAATAACACATCCGTATGGATTAAAGATTGAATAATATAGAAAAGCACAAAATGAAATTCAACACATCTTTCTACACTTCATTTTGCTTTTTCTAGGTTTTAGATTATATCTGTAAATAATGTATTTCGAGCATCATTTCTTATCAGTTTTGAAAATTACTGATTTTTTTCCTGTGGTATAAAGAATTAACTTCATTGAGCAGGCTTACTGATCTGATGGAGACTATTGAAAACCCCAAGACTGTGGCCCATTGTCACCCTTCAGGCCTGGAATTGAACTGATTCCCATGGCTTCCAGCCAAACAATACAAAAAAACCAAACTCACCACCATCAAGTAAGTGGGACTCATAGCGACCCCTTCTTGGGTTTCAGAGGTGATACCTCTACGGAAGTAGATTGTCCAGTCTTCCTTCCAAGGAGTGGCTGATGGGTTTGAACTGCCAGCCTTTAGGTTAGCAGTCAGATGCCTTAGGCACTACGCCGCTAAAGCTCCCAGTCAAATAATGGGCAGGTGTATAAGGCAAACACTTACACCATGTAGGTACACTACTTAGAAAAAATTAATCATGGGAGATCAAAAGGGCAGTTTTTGCACAGGGAGATAGCTCAGAGGGTGGTAATGCATAGGAAAGAAGAACACAGGGAAAAGGTAACTACAGGGAGGAAGTATGAAGAGAGCTGTTACAATCTAAGGATTGCAATCAATGTCATGAAACAAAATGTGTATGAGCTGTTGTCTGGAAAATAAATTTTTTCTGTAAACTTTTACCCAAATCACAATTAAAGAAAAGAGAGAGAAAAAAGAATTAACCTTACTTGTAACTCCATTTCCAACCCATCTTTGTTTTTTACAATTATATTAACACTTTTTAGTTGGTTACCTTTGTAATTTTAAATAATATTCTTAAACTTCTATTTCTTCTAACTTCTGCTAGCTGAGGAAATGAGTATCTTCTACTCCTTTGCCTCCTAATTTCTGTCATCTATACCATTATTTTTACATTGTCAAAGCTAATATTTTTATTCATAAAAGGTATACATGGACCTCGTGTGATGGAATACACAGGAATCAAGTTGAAGCCCCTCAGCCTTGGGCTTCAGCTCTGCCTCCAGCTCCCAGCCCACTGAAGCTAGAGGCTTTTCTTCACTTAGACAGAGGCTGGCTGCTGAGGCTGACAAGCCCAAGGTTGACAAGTAAAAGCCACAGTCCTGATGTTACCAAATCACACGGCAGGCCACTCATTCAAGTCCATTGTAAGTCCCAAAGCCTGCAGAGCATGGTAGACTGCTGAACAATGACACGGCTACACTCAGGGTCGAAACATGCCACAAGCTAGAGACCATTCCCAAAGCTGTTTCATATATACAGAAGCAGATCACATACCCAAAGGCAGCAGCTACTCAGCTGCTCACAGTAGGTTCCACCATGGAGTTGATTACCAGTCTCATCATGTGGAATACTATGTCCAGCTGCCCAGCCACTCAACCAGGCCCACCAAGTTGATGCACAGCCATAATCACCACACTTGTCTTAAATGTAGCGTAGCTGAAGTGAATGGAAGAAATGATGACGTAAAAGAGCTGAACAGAATATTTCAAAGAGTGGCTCAAAAACTTAAAGTATTATAATAAAATGTGGAAAGACCTAGACTTAGGAAAGCAAAAGTGAAGAAGATGCTTGTCATTTCTCTTTTTCTGAAGAAAAAAATTCAAGCCCCAAGTTGCAATACTGAAGGATTCTATGGGCAAAATCCACTACTCATCTGTCAGTTTGTTGTACTGTGGTGGCTTGTGTGTGGCTGTAAGGCTGGAGGTTATGCCACCGGTATTTCAAATACCAGCAGGGTCACCCACAGTGGATAGGTTTCATCAGAGCTTCCAGACTAAGACAGGCTCAGAAGAAGGAAGGGGCCTTTCACTTCTCAAAGAATTGGCTAGTGGAAACCTTATAAATAGCAGTGAAACACTTTCTGATACATTACTGGAAAACTTTATGAATAGTCCTGAAACATTGTCCAATATAGTGCCAGAAGATGAGCCCCGCAAGTCAGAAGGCACTCAAAATACGACTGGGCAAGAGATGCCTCCTCAGAGTAGAACCGACCTTAATGATGTAGATGAAGTGAAGTTTTTGAGACCTCCATTTGCTGATGTGGCACGACTCAACATGGGAAGAAACAGCTGCAAACATCCATTAATAATTGGAATGTGGAATGTATAAAGTATGAATCTAGGAATATTGGAAGCTGGCAAAATTATTTGGAACATGTAAAAATTAATATCCTGGGCATTAGTGCTTGGAAGGAGGATTGGGCAATCTACTTCCGTAGTGATACTGCCTCGGAAACCCAAGGAGAGGTTGCTGTGAGTCAGGTCCCACTCGATGGCACATAACAACAACAACAACAACAGGCATTAGAGAGTTGAAATGGATTGAATTTGGCCATTTTGAATCCGACAACCGTATGATCTATTATGCCGGGAATGACAAATTGAAGAGGAATGGCATGGCATTCGTCATCACAAAGAATGTTTCAAGATCTATCCTGAAGTACAGTGCTGTCAGTGATAGGATAATATCCATATGCCTACAAGGAAGACCGGTTAATACTACTGTTGTTCAAATTTACACACCGACCACAAAAGCCCAAATGAGGCTATTGAAGATTTTTTATCAGCTTTTGGAGAATGAAATTGAACAAACATGCAATCAAGATGTGTTGATTATTGTTGGTTATTGTAATGCAAAAGTTGGAAACAAATAAGAATCATCGGTAGTTGGAAAATATGGCCTTGATGATAGAAATGCTGCTGGAGATCACATGATAGAATTTTGCAAGACCAATGACTTATTCATTGCATATACCTTTTAGAATAACACAAACAATGGCTATACATGTGGACTTCACCAGATGGAGTAGACAGCAATCAGATCTACTACATCTGTGGAAAGAGGCAATGGAGAAGCCCAATATCTTTAGCCATAACAAGGCCAGGAGCTGACTATGGACCAGACCATCAGTTGCTCATTTGCAAGTTCAACCTGAAGTTGAAGACAATTAAAAGAAGTCCAGGAGAGCAAAAAATATGACCTTGATTATATCCCTCCTGAATTTAGAGAATGTCTAAAGAATAGATTTGATGCATTGAACACCAATGACCAAACACTAGAGGAACTGTGGCATGACATGAAGAACAACATCCATGAAGAAAGCAAAAGGTCATTAAAAAGACAGGAAAGGAAGAAAAGGCCAAAATGGATGTCAGAAGAGACTCTGAAATTTGCTCTTGAATGGAGAGTAGCTAAAGCAAATGAAAGAAATGACAAGAGAGCTGAACAGAAGATTTCAAAGAGCCACTTGAGAAGACAAAGTCAGTGATTATAATGAAATG